GAAACATTGGAAGTTTTGCACGAATCATCTCTCGGTTTGGTGACCAGAATTGGCCGCTACGCTCTTGCGATTTAACACTTTTGGCTTTGGATTTGGGGCTATCTGTCACAAGTTTATGCCTACAAGCCTAGAAGCCACCGAAGCATTGAAAGAAATCACACGCTGTATCAACGAGATACCGCGACATGTGTTCAAAATTTTTATTAAAAGAGTGCGCATGTGCCAACGGAGCCGTGGCAGCCATTTACCTGATGTGTTGTTGCATACATAATTCCACAAATTACCGAAACAAATTATTCTGTGATTTGTGCATAATTCCAAAGTCTATACACCATAGTCCAACAAATAGTTCAGTTGCTTGCTACGAAATAACAAGTTTAATAGAACCTTGAAATATTGCGTCCTTATTGAAAAACCATTTATAATAGTCGTAACGTTAAGTTTTGTGAAAAATTTGCTTCTAAGGTTACTAATAGTCCAACTTGTAAGGATATAAGTGATGAATGATAAACACCCAATACATCTGCATTGCCTTCATGAGGAAAGATCTAAAAAACAAAACAACCCTTCTCGCCATTTTAAACCTCCAGTACGTCGCATCAACCCGTCCCCTTGCCCCTCAGTAATTTCGTCCGTCGTCGCTGACTGTTTGAGGTTGGGGGTAGAAGGGGGGCACGGCTTAAGTTGTAATTAGTCCCATCTGGCGGCTGGGTCGTCGGCAGGCAAGTAATCGACGAGTGGCGCCCTCACACATGAGACTAATGCACTCGCTCGGATCTCCCGTGGCTGGTGTATAGCAGTCTGGGTAATTGGGAAATGGAAGATACGCGCTAACGGCGGCGTTTGGATTAGAAACAACGGCAATAGAAATCCCTCAACCCTGTTGTGTTTGCATACTAGCATCAATTACATGCGGGGTGTAATGATGCCGAATACTTCCCAATTGAATGGAAGCTGCACTAAGATTACCAGGTAACCAAATAAGATCGTGCAGTTGCTGCATATCGCACATTGCCATGGATGTTGTTGATCGATAGCGATTGCTTGTTACCTGTGGTCACTTTAGTATGAATCCTTTTCTCACACACATAAAAAGTTGCTGAAAATTGTTCGATAGCTAATATTAATAATTGAAAATGGCGACGAATAAAACAGTAATTCGAAGTTGTATGAGTATGAGTACAAACTTGGTACAAAAGTTGCAGCGGCGGCGTGAAAAAATATGTACCGTATTCGGAGATGATGCAGTCAGTGATCGAACAGCACAGAAGTGGTTCAAAAAATTTTCTTAGGGGGGGTACCGGTTTGAGCGATGAACCGCGCTCAGAGAGACCAAAAATCATGAGCAACGAGGATCTTCGACAGGTTGTGGATGCAAATTCCAGGACAACGTGCCAAGAACTTGCAGAAATGTTCAGAGTGAGCCCTGAAACTATTCGTTTGCATCTTCATCAGCTAGAAAAGACGCGGAAGTTAAGCAAATGGGTCCCACATGAACTGACAAATGATAACAAATTAAGTTGTCTTTGTTCAGCAAACATTTCACGCAACGCTAATGAACCATTTCTTAATCGGTTATTAACCTGTGACATAAAATCGACCTTGTATTCGAATTCAAAGCGTTCGCATCATTGGTTGACGCCTACTGATTGTGTACCATACACGCCCAAGGCTTCCTTGCACCCAAACAAAATTTTGTTGTGTGTATGGTGGACAGCAACTGGAATTGTCCATTATGAGTTTTTGGAAAGGGGTCAAACCATCTCTGCTAACATGTATTTTGAGCAGCTTCAACGAGTACAAGCAGCACTCATCCAGAAACAGCCTCCTTTGATCAACCGGAAGACAGTGATATTCTTGAAGGATAACGCAAAGCCTCATACCGCAAAAGTGACCCTAGAAAAAATTTCTGAAGTGGGTCGGGAAACGTTACGGCACCCGCCATATTCTCCGGACATTTCGTCCAGTAATTATCACCTTTTTTTGTCTCTTGACAACTGTATGAGGCACCGACAGTTCACAACTCGAGATGGTTAATAAATGCAGTCCGCCCATTTTTTTACTCCAAATCCAGGGAGTGCTACGATACCGGCATACAAAAATTGGTTCCTCTTTGACAAAAGGTCACTGAATGTGATGGTAATTGCTCCGACGAATAAATAGTCTCTTATAGTTTCTCAATAAAAATTTATATTTTTCTACTAAAAACCACACGAAATTATTTGGTTACTTGATGTGAAGACGTAATGTTTGTAGCTTAGTTTGTAGGAAGTAATATCTCCTGGAACTACTGAAGCGATTTTGGAAATCGTTTCACCAGTGGAATGCTATATTTTTCCTGAGTGGCATAGTATCATAGTATCTAAAAAAGTTGACTACAAAAATTGTAGCCAACATTATGCTCTTTACTTGGAAAATACCTCTATCTTTACAGGGTGATTTATAACTAGGTTAGGTTAGGTTAGGTTTCTTGTGAGTACATCAATAACGATCCTCCACTGCGACTCTTTGGTCTATTGTAGCTCACACCATATTATAGAAATATCCTTCAGGTCTTCTGCTTGGAGCACTACGTCTCCAAGTATATTGTACCTGATTCTGGCAATTGCAGGGCATCTGCACAATACATGCCTGACCGTTTCATTTCCCTCCATGCACTAAGCGCCTTCCGCCATGCCCAGCCTGCCCACGTGGTGACGCAATTTGCAATGACAAGTGTACAGTCCTTCTGGAGCTTTAAGGCTATTCCTGTTCAGCCGTAGCAAAGAGTCTGTTATCTTCTTTGCCAAGATTGGTATAGTTGCCTTAGCATGGGTTAACCCTGCTAATCCCTCCCAGTGTTGATCGATCTTTCTGTCCATCTCTGTAGAGATTATTTGTTTAGCCGTATTGTATGCGATCTCAATCGCTGGCTCAGGCCCTATGAAGGGTGTGCTAGCCCCACTCTTTTCCAGAGTGTCAGCTGTCTCGCTTCCCCGTAGGCTTGTGGATTTATAACCATGCGGTGACTAAAACATGCATTTTTCAAATGGAAAGCACTACATTTTATTGCTGGTTCAGATAGACCTTTTCAAACAAAGCAATTTTATATCACATACTATAGGTTTCTATTTCCAAAGTGCTGAAATATCTGACAATCTGTCCAATCGAACACAGAACTTTAACAACCTTCACTGAATTTTTCGTTAAAAAGTTATGATTCCATACGTCGTCCCCATATACTCACTTTTTCAGTTTATACACGGTAGTCAATGGGTCAAAATTAACTACTCAAAATTTCCAAATGTATATTTTCACAATTTTTGATTTCCCTTTTTATGCGCTTTTTTCTAATATCAGGTTTATGGGGGTTTGTGAGTCGTTTCTGAGTTGCATGAAACTTAGGGACGCCTTTGACTTTATTGTATAAAACTAGGTAGATTTAATTTACAGTGGACCTCCGGTAATACGACAAACATTATGCAGGACAGTGTCGGACTATCGAATTTATCGGATTATAGAGCACTGCCTAAGATCCCCTATAGTCCACAATTTTTTACAAAAGAGTACCTTGTAATCCGACAAATTACATATCCAATGGTAAGATTATATGTGTATGTATGTACTTTGAAGTACAAATCATACAACATAGTTTATGTATGAAAAATTTAGTAAATTAAATAACAATAGGGAGCTTACGTCTTATTATAAAATTAAGCATAAATGCACATGCATATGTACCAAAATAATCAAGAATTATTAATCAAAATCATTAATGGATTTATCAAATTATAAAGCTTGGGAATATTCATCATTTTTTTTTAACGTTGTTATAACGCGAAATCTCAGTCTTCTCAAAAGTAAAAATTCGTTGTAGGATGTACCATTCTCTTCAACCCATTGTAAACCTAGCTCAAAGGCGTTAATTGCGTCTTGTGCTGTGACTTGTGGAGCAACTGCAGTCACGTCGTCGTTATTTTCCTGATAGTTTGTTGTATAATTAGAAACCTCTTTTATAATCTCTTCGTCAGACATTTCATGAAAAAAAATTTCCTCTTTATCCATTCCACGGCACCAGATTTCCAAATCTTCCGGACTTATCTGTAGCGACTTGTTCTGTAACCTCCGAAGTTATACTGATTTGTGGAACATTGCTAGGAGTGGTGACTATATCCGGCCATCACTTTTTCCAAGGCGATTTAATAGTTGATGACGGTAACGCATTCCACGACTGACAAAGAGCAAAAACCAAGTCTTTCATATTAAAGTTTTTTCTATTGTTGGTCTTTTGATACGGCTCTCAGATATAGGTTTATCTTGCTTGACAAACTGAATGATATTCTGGTCCATTGGTTGAATGATATTCTGGTCCATTGGTTGAATCAGTGCAGTGCAATTTGGCGGAAGAAACATCGCAGTGATGCATTTATCCTCAGTTGTTAGTTCTTCTTCAGACGGATGACCGGGAGCGTTATCAAGAAGCAACAACGCTTTCTGAGGAAAATTATGATCTTTTAACCATTTTCTAACGTCAGGTACGAAGCATTCATCAAACCACTTTTTGAAAAGGTCTTTTGTCATCCATGCACTTTTTTGTCCGTAATAGTGTACAAGTAAATCAATGTTTTTGAATGCCCGTGGTTTATTAGATTTCCCAATGACCATCATCTTAAGCGCGTGTGTGCCCGCAGCGTTAGCACATGGTAGTATTGGTACACGCTCTTTACTTACTTTTCGTCCAGGTACGGATTTTTCGTTACAAGAAACGAAAGTTTTGTTAGGCATCACACGCCAAAAAAGCCCTGATTCGTCTGCATTGTACACCTGTGACGGGTCAAGATTTAAATCGTTCACCTTTTGCAAAAATCTTAATTTAAAGGGCTCTATGCAGGTGGCATCGTTAGAAAGTTTGTCTCCTGTAATAGTCATTAAACGTATGCCATGACGACTTTTAAAACGTTCTAGCCATCCTTTGCTGGCCAGAAAATCATCTTTTTTTATTTCCTTATAAAAAAAATTAGCTTTCATGGCCAACATGGGTCCTGAAATTGGTTCATGCCTATTTCTTTCCTGAAGAAACCACATGTACAAAGCTGCTTCCACTTCTGGATGTTCAGCTTTCTTGAGTGTCTGTCTCTTGCCTGGCCCGCAGTCAGTAGTTGACACGAACTTCTTGATCTTCTGGTGGTTTCTTTGAATGTCGTAAATTGTAGATCGACCTACGTATTCACTTGCTAAACTACTGAAAGTTTCATTACGATTTAAATGGTCTAAAATATCACATTTTTCTTTAATTGTCAATGTTTTGTGCTGTCGCTTCTGAGTTTGTGATGACATTACTAGGTACTATACTTAATACACAATGAATAAATAGTAAACAATGAACGCACGCTAGGCCGTATCGCCATCACAAGTAGTCAAATTCAAACTAAGTAAAACAATGCTTACGCGTCGAGCAAGATAGCGGTGGCGCGTACAAGTTGTAACCTGTTCAAACCTGCGTGATCTACATTAACGAAGATTGTCAAATATGTATGTATGTAATATTCAAAGACATGTCGGATTAGAGGGGGCGCCGGATTAGTTAGGGGCCGGATTATCGGGGGTCCACGTATAATGAAAATATGAAAGTTCTAACAATCTGCCATTACCAACCAAATGTTATTTTTTAGTTTGAAAGGCATTACAATATTCATTATTCCTCTTGATATCTGACTTGCAGACAGGTAGTTGTAACCTAAAAAACGGTCGAAGAAAAACCCAAAAGCCTTATATCATTTAAGATTTTTGAGAAATCATTCATTCTGCGTTATTGACCACCCTGCATAAACTGTCCATAAAACTGAAAAAGGGAGTACACAGAAACTAAATATGCATCGTAAAATTTTGTAAACGAGAAACTCAGTACTCTAGCTATAACAGTTGTGAAGATGCAAGTTTTCAAAGTTCAGTGTTTTCTTCAAGATATCTCAGCAATTTGGAAATAGTGTGTTATATCAAACCGCTTCGTTTGAAAGGGTGTATCCAAATCTGCAATAAAATGTAATGTCTTCCGTTTAAAAAAATGCACGTTTTGGCCACCGCATAGTTATGAATGCCCTCCAAGTAAGGAGCAGACTATTAGCTACAATTTTTGTAATTACCTTTTCCAGGTAGTATGCACAATAACAGAGTTACCAACCAAGCACGCGCTACAAACTAACCTTGTATTTGCATTCTTCCATTATCAGAGACAGGCATTTTTCTTGTTGTCTACTATGTGCCATACTACTTTTACTATAATGTATAAAAATCCTTTATTAAGAGAATATAATAGTCATCCTTATTCAACCAGAAACAATGCTGATAGAAATCTAATAATACGCAATAGTTTCACATAAACTTAAGATCAATTGACTACATTCGTCTACAACATTTTGCCTGGGACACTGAGGATGATAAATAAAGTAAAATTGTTTAGTTCAGAGTGTAGATCATTTGTTGTGGCAAACCTTGATAGGTTCATAGCTCTTTGCCATCTAAATATGCAAAAATGTTTTGATAATTTTTTTATGTTTTTTTTTTAGGAATTTAAATTCTGAGTTGGTTGATTTTTGTCCTTGTTTAAGTGGCTACAAAGTAATTGGCATGGCATTCAAATTATATAGATTGTCAAATTATTTGACCTGGATTTATTTTGTTTTAGTTATTTTACTATTTTATTATTAAAATGTTACATTACACATTATTTAAGATTGGTGCATACGGATATCAAGTTCTCTAGGTACCACATAAGAAAAACTATACATGTTTTATTTTTGTGTAATACAGGGTGCGGCAGAGAGGAAGAACGGTTTTAAAAAAATACTAAAATAGTTAATTTTTACTTGAAAACAAATTTGGAATCAGGTTCACAAGGAAATAGCATTTGAGACAGTCAAGTGTGTAAAATCACATCAGGCATGTGGTGGCCGAAATCGTGGATGCAGTGCTGGAGGCGTTCTTGGAAGTTCGCATAGACTCTCTCCAACATCGCTCTCTCAACTTGGGCGACTTCCACGCGAATCTCGCCCTTCAAGTCGTCCAGAGTTCGGGGCTTCTTCGCGTATACTCTAGCCTTGAGGTGTCCCCATAAGAAAAAATCGCATATAGATAAATATGGGGACCGAGGAGGCCAATGAACATCGCCAAACCTGGAAATAAGGCGACCAGGAAAGAGAGGGCGAATAACGTCCATGGATACTTGGGCTGTGTGGGCGGTCGATCCATCCTGCTGGAACCACACACGTAAGATTGGAACACGTCGCTGTCGTAATTCAGGGAGAAAGAAGTTGGTGATCATGTCGACGTAGCGCTCTGAGTTCATGGTAATATCACGACCATTACCGTCTTCGAAGAAGTAAGGGCCAATGATGCAAGTTTGCGATACAGCGCACCAAACCGTTACTTTTGGGCTGTGCAGCGGTCTTTCGTGTAACTGTTGCGGATTTTCCTTAGCCCAATAACGACAATTCTGCTGGTTAACCATGCTGTTTAGGTGAAAGTGGGCTTCGTCACTCATAAACAAAATGAGGTACTCATTTTGATCGATCAGTGCTTCCATCTCACATGCGAAGTTCATTCGTTGTGCATAATCTCCAGGCTGTAACTGTTGCACAATGGCCAATTTGTAGGGGTGAAAGCGGAGATCCATATGCAAAATTCGCCTTACCGAACGATCACTAAGGCGAAGTGCAGCTGCATGTTTCCGGGCAGATCGAGTCGGACGGCGAAGAAAGACCTGTCGAACGCGTTCAACATTTTCAGGAGTTCGAACTGTTCGCGGCGCTCCTCTTGGTCTTCTGTTGATCAGTTCACCACGCCTGCGAAGTGATTCAACCCAACGAAGGATGGTGTTTCGAGAGGGAATAGCTCTATTCCGATGAATGTTGAAGTGGCGACCAAACTCACGCTGTACGACGATGACTGACTCATTATTTCGAACGAAACAATCATAGGCGAAAACGCGCTGCTCCACCGTCCAAGGCTCCATAACGACAACTGGTAAAATAATGCTAGGATCTCGCAAGTCAAACGGCATCCTCCCCACCTCGCTCGTAGACGGAGGCGGAGAGTACTACCCATCCCAAAAACGTCCGTCCTCTCTGCCGCACCCTGTATATAAAACCACTGTATATATCGCCATCACTTTGAAATATATTGCATTATTATTGTATTGTTTACGTACTTGTCAGAATATCAGTATACTGGTCAATAGATGTATCACTCTCCAGGAGGTTTGCCCAGGTTGATTTAAGTTTGAATTATCAACAAAATGATATGATGGAATCGAATAAAATATGAAGATTCACAGTTTACTTACCGAATCAGCCGCGTATTCAGAGGCCTGATGAACTTAAAAGAACTTTGCTAAGCCAATTTTTGAACCGCCGAAGGTTAGTAGAACTTAGAAAAGCTTCCCTAGGTAGGTTGTTCCACAATGAAGTTACCCTAAGGATAAATGAGCGGTCGTATCGGCCAGTTCTGGATGTCGACACGTTTATATTTTTAAATTTATATTTCATATTCGCTACAGGTAAAACCCAATTACAGGAAAAGCTCAAATACATTAACAAAAAGAAAATAAAGAGACACATTGAAAACTTAAACTTAGCATCAATTGGCCTAAGTAAGCTCACAGAACAATCAATGACTTATAGCAATTTATGACTGATTTACAGCTATCATTATAAATATCACCCAGATCACAAATAGAGTTCATCAGACTGCACATTACATAAATTGGAGATTTCAACATTACGTTCGTCCGGCCTGCTTGACAATAAAAGGCTGATTGTTGACGACTTTCGAGCCTTGGAATGCGGAAATATATTTTTCAAGTAAATCCGGACAGTCAATTTGATTGTTTTTAAGGCCATATAAAAACGATAAGGCAAACATATTACGTCTAATTGATAGTGAATCTAAATCGAAAAAATTCAAAGGGGTATGATGACAAAAACCTCTTTCTGGATAAGAACCAGTACATTTCAGGTAAAAATACTTAATGCCCTTACGTTGAATGCCTTCAATCATTGAAACTGAATTTAGATATATTGGAGACCAGATCAGGGTTGCATATGCCAGCTTGCTTCTGACAAAAGTACCGACAAAGTCATTAAAGTACTGACATTGGAGAACCCCTTCCAGTTTCTGATACAGAAGCCAAGTAGTCTGGTGGCAGCCGATGAGATATTAAGTATATGTTCGCTAAACATTAGCCTGCTATCAAAGGTTACTCCAAGGTCCTTAAAAGAGTAGCATCTGTCTACAACCTGATCGTTGACATTATAATCTTATATTAAGTAATTATTTAGAAACATCTAAACTAAGACAGTCTCGCGAGCACCATGCAGAAATTAAGTCTAAATTGCATAAGACAAAATAGATGCAAACACTTGAGCTCAAGAGGCAAATCGTTAATAAAGATCAGGAACAATAATGGGCCTAGATTCGATCCTTGAGGCACCCCAGATGTGGCCTGATAATAACTCGACCTATAACCACCGTATTCAACAAACAACCTTCTATCCATCAAGTATGAACTCAGGATGGGAGGCCGAGGTCGGGTGGGTCTGTCTAGCAGACACATCGCGCTGCGGCATTATGGAAGAACGCTCTGAGAAGCCAAGCCCGTCAACATAGGGATAAAAGTTATCGATAGGTTGGACAGAACTCCTAAAAAAAAAATCGAGTACAGAAAATGTGTCGAAAAGTACTTCCTAGCTCTAAGCAAATAGCCTAGCTACTGACAAGATGTGTTTCTGTCGGATCAAGTCTTCAGTGATCTGGACCCCGACTAGCAGAAATTAAAGGATCTTTGGTACAACTCGGACATTCATCGAAACCGGATAAGCGATAGGGTGTTTCTTGTTAATGAAGGTACTGTGCTTTGGAAGCATCAAACTGTTTCTCCAGCTGACCGAAGAGATCGGCTTGTCACTTTGAATTCCTGCATGGAAATTGCATTGACATCAGCAAAGCTGGGGATGAGGTTGATCGTACAGAAAGGAAGGCCACAGAATGGAAGTTTGCATAAGAAAGCACCATGACACAGCTGATCGAACGCTTTCTTGATATCAAGAGCGACGACATGAGCTAGAAGGTCTCGATTTATGCACCTCTCCCTGAAATACTATTCAAAGTGGCAATCTCAGGACATAGGACTAGGATAAGGGAGTAATTCAGAAGTCAGTACCGTAATGTGCAGAAAAAACAAGTCAAACGTTTATATGTATGGTGAATATTATAGTGGTATAGAGCTACAGAGTCAGTATACACTAAGGGATCAAACTTCTATGGGTTATTCAGTGTAACAGTAGAAAACATGTGAGTACAGGGACCCATATCCGGAAAAGTGTCTCGACGTCCCTAAGACGCGTCAAAATTTAGAAAGACGACGAATTGCCTAAATAGGATTTAATCCATTTAATTTTTGCCTTTTGTACATGATATCATCACAACAATTGCTCAAAATGACTAAAAATTTGATACTCGTTTTGAATAATTTCAAATGCTGCGGTAATTCGTCCAATTAGGTCTTGCTCTGTTTCTACTGAAGTTTCGTAAACCAAAGACTTTACTTGTCCCCACAGGAAAAAATCTAGCGACATTAAATCGAATGACCTAGGAGGCCAAGAAACTGCTCCACCTCTGGCAAACGAACAGTGTCCAAACCGCTGAGCCAAATACTCACGGACTTGTACAGCAAACTGAGCCAGCGCTCCATCATGCTGAAACCATATTTGCTGTCTTGCTGTCTTGGAGGAAGTTCTTCCAGAACCGCCGGTAAATAGGTCCTATTAACCGTTCCGGTAGAAGATATGGCCCAATCAAATAATCATCAACAATGCCTGCCCATACGTTGACAGACGAACGTTGCTGATGTTTTCTAGAAAAAATTGCATGGGGATTTTCTTTGTCCCAAACGTGGCTATTCCTACTATTAAAAATACCGTCTCTTGTCAAAGAGGCTTAATCGGTCCATAAAACATAGCGTAAAAAATTTGGTTGTGCAGCGATTTGATGAAAAAGCCATTGACAAAATTGAACTCTAGGATGATAATAGGCTGCAGTCAATCCTTGAACTTTCTGGAAGTGGTAAGGATAAAGTTGTTGCTCGTGTAGCATCCGCCAGACGCAAGCATTACTTGTATTCATATCCTCAGCAATGTGACGAGTGGTACCTGATGGTTCGTCGGCAACTCGCTGAAGGACCTCTTCTTCAAATTCGACCGTTCCTACGGTTCGAGCAATACCAGTATCATGCATGTTGGTTTTAAACGTGCCTGTCTCGGAGAGCCGCCGATGAATAGCAATAAACATTTTGTATCCTGGATGCTGTCGTTCGGGATAACGTTCTCGATACAACCGCGCTGCTGCTCGTGCATTGCAGCATGTTGCTCCGTATGACAAATGCATTTCCGCCTATTCTTGATTGGTAAAGTTTTCCATTAGCAACAATTAATGTTTCTTAAATTCTTGCAAACTTCACAAATACGATAGCACGACTAAGACGATATGGAATGCAGCTTCAAAAAACAATATCTGTTATCGTTTATAAGATAACAACACACAAGCGCCGGATATGGGTCCCTATACTCAAATGTTTTCTACTGTTACACTGAATAACCCCTACAAGTTTGATCCCCTAGTTCTGAAACACCCTGTATATTTCTTTAGCTGCTAAAGACTTCCTGATGCTCGATTTTATAAAAAACATGCCTACTAATCAGAGAGCAAAATATATATTACCCATTCTTACAACTGAGCCAAACACAAGCCACAGTAACAGCATCCACCCATCTCTGTTCACCTAGTTCCATTATTAACTGTCTCCGGTGCACAATGACCTTCGCGTCGGTCATCCGCTATTACCTAGGAACGGCAGAAAAGTGAAAGAACTATTCAGATCCTCTCTCTTCATTTTTAACATAGTTCGATCCGGTCTACCGGCTTTACGAACGTTGTTATGATTAATATAGTAATGACTTTCACACTGCACCGCACTCCCATGCATTATCTACATAAAAGCCATCTATTATTTTGAAGCGTACACACCGTTCTGCCTGGAGTCTGTTCAATGTGAGAAAAATGTCACATGCGCGATGATCGTTCACTTCCTGGACTGGAAATGTAGCAATTCCGCTGGGCAAATTGACATAGGTGTGGCATGCGAGTTGGAGATTTGCTAACAAAAACTATTACTTCGATTGTTTCCGGTGTTGAATAATAACAGAGATCTTGCAATGATGGTGCAAGTTCGTTGGATTTCCAATCTTTGTTATACACTCAGCGTTTGAAACGATCGTGAAGCCTGTTCTTTAGCAATTTTCAACGAAACAGGTACATTTTTAAGACAACTTGGTATTTTAAAAAGAGGTTTAACATACCTGTATTTTGGAAACCAAGCATTATATATAATAATAAATAAAAATATTTTTTATACATAATTTTACTTCAAAATGCCACTTTTTAACGAATCTGCATGTTACCAGATTTAAAATTGCGTTAAAAATTGTTTCATCAATTTTTTAAAGAACTTCAAAAATCGTTTTTTCGCTCGCTTGGTTTTTTTTGGTCATTCAGGAATAAAAACTTTCTTATGAATTTTTGTCCAAAAATGATTGTTTTGGAGTGCTACTTAATATTTGAAAAAATGCGAAATATGCCATTTTCAACCCAGAACAAGATTATGAAGAAAAGTCTTAATGTTCTCAAGGTCAAGTATTCTTCAAATCAATTAAAAAATGTTAAAGCATTCTAGGAGTTATTGCTACTGTAAACCTTTATTTTTTTATTGTTAATCTCCCTATAAGTCTATACAGGATGCGTCATCTATTACTTTTTCCTTTTTGAAAAATCAGCACGCTTTTTACGAGGTGAAATCATATTTTTTTATTGATAAATGAAGGTTGGTTTATGCCATTTATGTATGAAAAATAACATCAGTCATGTAACCACCGCGGCTTCGTTTAGAGGCCAACATCCGAACATCAAAGTTTTCAATGACTTTTCCCAGAATAATCGGGTGTGTAGCCGCAATTTCAGTCCGAATATTGAGCTTTAGGTCTTGAATTGTCCGGGGACCATTCGCATACACGTGTACACGTGTCCTTTCAAAAATCCCCAAAGAAAATAGTCAAGAGGTGTTAAATCGCACGATCTCGGGGGCCAACTGACATCTGAATTTCGTGAAATTATGCGGTCTTGAAATTTCGTGTGCAATAAGGCGATTGTTTGGCGAGATGTGTGAGCCGTTGCTCCATCTTGATGAAACCAAAGATCATCCCAGTACATTATTAAAGAACAATAAAATAACTCCCTAAAATGTTTCTATTAGTGGACCTTTGAAGAATATTTAAGAACTTTACCAACATAGAAATATCGGAGTCGAAATTGCCATATTTCGCACTTCTTCTCCGAGCAGTTGCGAGAATACCTCCTGGACTGTGAAGAAATCATTCGTTCAAGTTTAGCCAGATACTTCATTAAAGACCTTTATACATAATCTTGTACTCTTCATGCATTTGCAGCTAGAAATGGAAGATACTGTAAATGCATACAAGCCAATTAGTTCAAAATAAATTTCATTGTACATATTTGGCGATTGGCAAGTTAATCGTAAAACATCTTTTATCTATTCTTAATATACGTATAATACACGGTAACGGTACACGGTAACAATTAACAGTCTACGCATACTACTCGCCATTATACTAATGCGGTTTTTTTATACATAAAACGATTCTTTTATGTGGACTAAATGCTCCTAGTAGAACTATATTAATGAATGTAAATTACAGTCGTATCAATTTTAGGATCTCATAAAAAACCAATTGAGAATCGATACATCGTGCACACTTTCTTTCTTAGGGAATGCTACTTTCAATCAATTTGTGCTTACGTAAGGTTTAATATTTGTTTTCTTTAATAGTTAGTGAGTTCCTTAAATTGCCCATCTAATAAGTAGGTACTGACGTTATCATTTCCTCATGTTAGTATATTAACTCCATCTGCAACATTATTGTTTTTATATTTGCTGTTAATGATGCATAATTATGTGGGTATCACCGAAATTCTTAATCGGGACCCGGTGGAAAGTGAAATTAATGTAATAAATAGCCTGAGATTCCATGAATTGTGAGATTAATGGATGTAAATCCGGCACAGGTTCATAGTTCATAGTTTGGGTTTTCGGAACCCGTAGCTTGTAACTGCAGCTGCCATACTGTAGCTAGCTCCTTGTGACAAGTTGCGATTGTTGCAAAAATTATACTGACATAAGCTACATGGGTTATACTATCTGTATGCGTTGCCTACTTGGAAATTGTGACACTTCTCCAGATATTTTTTTGTTGCATGAGTGCTGGTGGCAACAATAATCCAAGTCGAAGACGAGGATTTTTGCACCTGCACGAATAATAAGTTAATGTATTTTTATGAAATAAAACCTGGCAACTAAAGAACCCATAAATCTTCAATATTAAATCTATGAAATATCTAACACTTACCCGAACCACAAGCCCTCAACCACCCTACCATATCTAGGCCGAGTTTAACGTTCTTACTTCCGATTGCCCACTAATTTCAAAATAAAAAATTAAACTCTACTGATAAAAGCTTAACCGGTCTAGCTTAGAACATCATACTTAACCAAACCAAACACACGTAATTATAATATCTAGAGCATTAAATAAAGTGAAATTCATTAAACTGAAAATTTTAAAGTGCCATATCTCAGCGAAAGAAAAAGAGCAAACTCAATCGCACTTGAAAGGGCAAGACTTGTACTTTGAGACGATATTTATGATTTTTTTAAAAAGAAAAATAATTATGTCATGCTACATAATCTCAGGTACACCCTATTCCACGAGTATCCATCACGGGAGGATGATACCTAGTTATCTAGTAATATTTCAAAATTCCCCATAGCGGCACAGGACACATAACCTCGGGGCCGCGTGGGTCAGAGTGTCGTGCTACTGATCAGCCGGCCGGCCGGGCCGCGAGTTCGAATCTCGCCTTCGCCATGGATGTTGTGTGTTTGTTTTAGGCAGCAGCGGTGGCCGCAGTAGTAGACTCTTCGGTCTCCTGATCAGCCGCCGTGCGCTGTGCGGGTTCGAGTCCCGTCCCAGGAGAAATGTTTCTCTTGGCCATGGATGTTGTGATTGTCCGTAGGTGGTAGATGGTATCTGACTGTCGAACGCGGAGGTACCACCCGGCGGTTCTCGTGGGCGGAGCCAGAATGTGTGCATGTTGCATGCACACGTGTTCCCTCGCCAGAGTCCGTGTGGCGTCCCCCCTTTCCCATGTATCCCCCATAGCCCCACGGTACCCAATGGGTGCTTAGGCCTTAGGCCTTCGTGGTAGTTGGAGTATAAAAAAAAAATAATTAATTCCGAGTGATCGGAAACAGACCCGTATTTTGTTATGGTTCTTTGTACGCTACAGATTCATTTTGTACTTGCTAACAGCTCTTTTATTTAAAAAAAGTTTCTTTACATACGAAAAAAACGCTACAGCACAATGGCTGCTAATAACCGTGACTAGATTTCAAGTCAGGTAGGAATAAGATCTTGAAACACCATATGCTACGACCCCCTTCCCACTTTGTTGTTGGCCCACTTCAAGATTTGTACCAAAATATGCCTTTATAAACATGAGGAAACTATTTACTTCTAAAACAATTTATTTTCTCAAAAACATTTTAGATACACTCTAGTCGTAAAAAGTACATATTTGAAATCACTTAGACCTATAACTAATAGAACATCTGAACAAATAAACAATGTGCGAATAAATGCGCGAATTTAACAAAGCGACAATTGAAAGATTACCATTGGGTAACATCACCCTTATTTTTTATTACGGCTAAAATTCTTTGGGGCATAGTGTTAACCAAGTTATGGCAAAATTTTGTGTAAAACAATCCCATATTTCTTGAAGCTTTTGTCTCAGTTCGGTGATTGTGCGAGCAGGATGTTGTCGTAGCACCTTTTTCATCTCGTGCCACAAAGTTTCAATAGGAGACAGATCTGGACTGCTAGAAACCCATTTCAAAAGTGGTACATTATTTTCTTCCATCCATTTTATAGCCTTTTTTGAGGTATCGCACGCTGCACCATCTTGCTGAAACACAAAATCTTGGCCGGATATCAAACATTCTTCCATCACTGGTAAAAGCGATTCTTCTAAAATTGCCAAGTATTTGTTTGTATCCACATTTCCATCAATAAAATGAAGTTTTCCTACTCCTTTTGATGACATACTGCCCCAGACCATAATGGATGCTGGAAATTTCACTTTTCTCTTCAAACAGTCAACATGGAATGCTTTATTTTTTTTGCCAATAACTCTACTGCGACTCTCACCAACACAAACTTCGAATCGGGCCTCATCACTCCATTGTATTGCACATCATTGTTGAGGTGTCCATTGTCTACGTTCTTTAGCCCATCTAAGCCGATTTTTCTTTTGCAGTGGAGTTAATAGTGGCTTTTCTTTGGCCTATAAACAAGTTGTGCAACTTTAGGGTTTTTACTTCACTTTTTTTTATAAGAAAACTTACCTTGCAAGTGCTAGATCGCAGTTTGTGGGCCTCTCTATGAGTTGTGGAACTCGAAATTCTCCTTCGAACAGCGCCACTCCACAGAGCACTTAATCGTAAATAATTGGCACGCCTGTTTTTCACGATTATTCTTCTGAATTCTCTTCGGTCGGCATTTGGGATATTACTTTTTTTCACATATCGTGGCTTAATATTAACTGAACCAGTTACGTTATATCTTCTAACAATATTTCTCACACTGTACCGCGATAAGTCTAACAAAGTTGCAATTTCTGAGTTTGATTTCCCAGAATTAAAAAAATTAATTATCAGTAACCGAATTTTCTCACTAATAACCTTTCCACTACCCATTTTGAAAACCGTAACTACCCAAAACTATTTTAAACGTATTCTGAGAGCTGTGATTAATAAAAACGATTGTCATGGCTTTTATTTTTCACAGCCACCTATGCCTTATAGACTTATTTTGCATTGAAATGAAAATAGGTTGATATGCTGTAATTGCAACATGTGTTATTTTTATGCTGCAAATATGATTAGGGAGCGATAAAGTTGGTGTTTTCTACTATATACTATCAAAATATTCATTGTTAATATTTTAAACTTATAACACCCTACTACATTTTTATTATTTGTGTTTGATAAGAAAAAAACTAAGATATCAATAGTTGGGCCAACTGAAGTGGGAAGGGGCTCGTAAATCCCTATAATAAGGAACTGATCCGTGGATACTGGTTTTAGATTATATGTATGGTAAAGAATCAATTTAGTGATGCATGGGACTCCAAACTATAATATTATCATTTGTTTAACTTCACATCACATTTCAACTAAGTCCTCAGTTAATCTCATTGTAACATTCCTCGGACTGCATTACAGCTTTCTGCTTTCCTTGTATGTCTCGTTCAACATACTGCAACATTTTTTGCTCTAAGAGCAATCGCGTGTCGTATGGCATCATATACAAAGCACATTGATGCTTTCCAACTTTAATAGTGATCTTAGTAGAAAACGATAAAAAGTGAAAGAGTGTAGATTTGCCATCTGTTCTATACACTCTGAAAAAAGATTCAACAAGAATGATGATAATTAGAATAACTTTCATCTTCTCTGCTCTTCGTGTAAACTGGTTTCAAATTAGTGTATCGCTTCCCCATTATGTGAAACTATGGTGACAGCAAAAATAACGCAACATTACTAAAAATTATAATTAATACCTCTCAGCAAAGACCGGGGCCAGACACCTCGTGGTGTTTTATCAGTCGATTAGTCCTAGAGTAGATAGGCCAAGAAATCGGGAGATTTTTCATAAGGAAGTTCGAGGGACAGTATTTTTTTTTGATGGTGTCGTTAGACCATTGCTTCCTAATGGCATCATCATTTTCATTACGAAGATCAAAGTCGCTCACTCTTATGAGTCTGTCTATTTGCGATGTTGTTCAGTTCAGGAACCGCTGCAGTGATAAAGTAGATTCACTGATGCATCACTATATGTCTATCAAAACCATTGCAACGGTCACTGAGGCTGCGCTGTGTCAAAATAGCAAACAGACAGGCTGATGGAACTGAGTGACTTGCATTTTAATGATCAGGTATCATAAAATATGCGGAAATGTGGGATCTTCTATACCTACGCGTCTCAGTAAAAACGGATTTAGTAAAAATGGTATTCTTGATCATATACAGGGTGTTCCTTATTGATATGCGAATATTTAAGGATGTGAATCTACATGAAAAATTAATGTTGGTTTGCTTTATAAACTATGGTCCAGAAATGTTTCCTTACAAAAACTCGGGGTGTTGAAGTTTTAGGAAAAAAATGGAAATTAATTAATATTTTCAGAACCACTTCAGATATTTCACTGATATTTAGTGCGTAGTGAAAGTTAACAAAATTTCATATTTTTCAATGCAAAAATATTTTTTAGCTTTAACAGTGGCGTGCGTACGGGTATTGACTTCGATATTTTTTAAGAAAGAAATGGTACGCCAATGATTTTTTGCCAAATAATAATTATTTTTAAATTCCCCGTTCAATGTACAACAAATGATCTCTCCTGAGTTGCTCTTCTTTGATGCGCCATTTTTGAATAAAAAAATAAAAACCGATCTATTGACTGAGAAAATTAATGTAATAATTGAAGAATGCAATTTAGCAATAAATATCTAGTTGCTCTGGAATATGTCACCGGCTTTTGACATCTGACAAGTCTCTGTTATTCAAATCTGTTCGCTGTGACACCTTTTTCATTATTTAGTCTTTACAGTCTTGTTAATAATGGTGAATTATTCAAAGGCAGAAATGGCCGAAATGCAATACGTGTATGGCTTTGCCGACGGTAATGGTCAGCAAGCCAGACGGATTTATCACCAGAGATATCCCGATCGTGCTTTGCCAGATAGTCGAACCTTTTTTTAAAATTCATCGTCGTCTTGTTGAAACTGGTTCTGTGCGAAAAGTAACATCTGAAGGTAGACCTCTAAGGGTGAGAACATCTGAAATTGAGGAAGCAGTGCTGCACGAAGTCGAAGAACATCCTGAAACGAGTACGAGGAAGATCGCTAGACACTTAAATATTGCCATCAAATTGTTTGGAAAATTTTAGTGGATATTTTGTTATATCCTTACCATATTTTAAGAATACAGGCATTACTTCCCATTGATTTTCCAAGGAGTGTGACCTTTTGTCAGTGGTATGTTCAAAAAATTACACAAAATCCGCAATTTGCATCAATGATTCTGTTCACGGACGAAGCTAATTTTTCTCGAAATGCCATTCAGAATTTCCACAATAATCATTTGTGGGCAAAGGAAAATCCTTATGCCGTAACCGAAACCCATTTCCAACACCAATTTTCGGTTAACGTATGGGCAGGAATTATTGGCAACCACTTTATTGGCCCATTCTTCTTGGCGGGACGACTTGCCTCAATTTTCTTCAACAACAGTTGCCTTTGCTGCTTGATGTTCCGTTAGTGATAAGTAACAATACGGGGTACATGCATGATGGCGCACCAGCGCAATTCAGTGTAGCGGTTCGTAATTGTTTACAAACTGTTTATCCAAATCGTTGGATTGGCCGCGGTGGGCCCCAAGAATGGCCACCAAGGTTCCCAGACCGCAACAGTTTAGATTTCTTTTTGTGGGGCTATCTTAAGACACTAATGTACACAAGTCCCATTAACTCTGTAGAGGAATTGAGAGAAAGAATAGTTGCAGCTTGTGATGGAATAAAAAACACGCCAGAGATATTTCAACGAGTGCCCAATTCCATGAGAAGGAGGGCGGAAGCATGCATACTGAGTGAAGGGGGCCATTTTCAACAATTTTTGTAATCATTTCGTTGGTTTTAATGTTATGTTGTCAGTTGTTGTTGTTCAGTACCCCTAATGTGTTTAATTTTTCCAATTAAATTAATAATAATTTTGCAAGTTAGACAATAGAACGGTTTTTATCTGTTTACTCAAAAATGGCTCATCGAAAGAAAACAATCCAAGAGAGCTTATTTATTTTAAATTATACTGGGAATTCAAAAATTATTTTTATTTTGCGTACCATTTTGTCTTAAAAAATATCGAAGTCAAGACCCGTACGCACGCCACTGTTAAAGCTAAAAATTATTTTTGCATTGAAGAATATGCAACTTTATTAACTTTCACTACGTACGAAATATCAGTGAAATATCTGAAGCGGTTTTGAAAATATTAATTAATTTTTTTCCTAAAACTTCAACACCCCGAGTTTTTGTAAGGAAACATTTTTGGACCATAGCTTATAGCAGTGAAATATACTAAGTGACATATAAAATGCAACACCCAGAATTATTTATTGAATTTTGATAAAAACTTGTAAACATATTTGCTATGTTGGAAATATACGCTGATAGAATGTTGAAGGCACTCCGAACCGTACTTCTTTTTGTAAAGTTTTTTTTCCATATCAGGATCCGGACAGTCTGAACATGTTTACTTACTACTCATTGATTTTGCTATGTTTGTTTCATTTGTTTCACTGTTGTTTCACTGCATTATCATGCCCCGATTATCTATTAATTGCAGAGATAATTATCAAGTAAGGATGCCCATAAACTACGTCAATATATTATTTCCTGCTGTATATGACGATAAAAGTGCTCAGATTAGACCGACAAGTAATCTTAACTAATTTTGAAATACCGGAATCAATTTAGCGGAAGAACGGAAGCACGTTGTAGCTAATAGTTACACTAGTAATAACCAATGACGAACACAAAACAAACAAGATGTGACCGTGCATCATCCTGCATCGGAAACCAGCGAAAGTTGCATTCAAAAATTAAGTCATAATTACCCAACACGCCACTGCTGTGATGGCTTCAGCAAAATACAGAGTGATGTAAAATCACTGGCAATACTGCTAGAGCAGAAAATACATCAACAAAAATAACAAGAACATATTTTAAACTGTCTCCATATCGAGGTACTGATGAACGATAGAACATAAATATCGTTGAAATAACGTGGTGTAATGACACTACGTACTACCTGTTGCATTTTATTTCACTTTCAATGTTAAACCCCACAATGAACTATCCCGAAACCATTCCGATTGCGATTCCTCATTGTGATTGACTACTAGTAGCTTGTACCTAACTTATTCAGTACCAATTCTTTCTAGAAAGAACTTTATCATGCTTGTCCAGCAGCAAACAGTCGCGAGTTTAGATAAATGACGGCATGATCGACTGTACAACCTTTCGTCTTATGGACGGTCGCAGCCCAACTCAGGATTTAATGGCAACATTCGCAATGAACAAGGTGAGAATGGACTGCCTTGAAAAAGTATCTGCCTCCGGTGTGCTGTGCCGAGTGCCCGAACCAACAAATAGTAAGTACGATCTGCATACATGCGCAAATCGCGCTAGCTCTCTTACTCCCCTACAGAGGTTATACAGGATGTTTCAGTTTATTGTTGCATAACTTTAAGATTCGATAGAACTTTTAAAATTAATGCATAAAGTCTATATAAACATGGGTCGAAAAATGCGTGGCTTCCGAAATACAGGGTATTTAAATTTACTTTCTAAAACAGTTTTTTTTTAAAATATTTCGAACAATATTTGATGTATAACAGTGAAAATTGGTGTATTAAAATGACCGAAAATTTTTTCTTAGTGCAATTTTTTACTTTTTGAATAAAAAAACTGATTCTTCGCACTTTTCAATATAAAAAAGCTCTCTTGTGAATTTTCGTTATAGTTGGCCATTTTTGAGATATTTCGATTTTTAAGGTTCGATGCATTTTTAATTATTTATGGGAAAATAATATTCTTTTTACATTTTCGATTTGGGCATTACAACTAATTAAGATGATCGTTTAGATTGTGTTTTTAATTACAGCAATAATTGCTAACTCCAAATAAACACAAAAAACAGAATATTAATTTGTTTAATTTTCCAATATTATTTTTAACAAATTAAATTAATTATTTACAACTAAAATGCTATTGGATAGTTAGGACAAACATACAAAATCTAAAGTAGTTGCTCGAAATGTAAACCCAATTGTTCAATACACAATTCACATCTACGAATGAACGTGGTATAGCATTATTCATCACATGCATTCCTGATTATGTCTATTAGCATATCTCTTGTGGTTACGGGAGTCTGGTATACTTTTTCTTTTAGAAATCCCCACACAAAGAAATCTAATGGATTTAGGTCAGGGGATCGTGGAGGCCAGGCGACTGGTCATCCACGGCCGATCCATCTTTCTGGATAATTTTCGTCCAGCCAGTTTCTAACTATTCTCGAACAACGAGCTGGACAACTATCAAGCTGGAACCAGGCCAATCTTCTTAAATCTAACATAACATCATCCCGCATATTTGCATGTTCGGCCTTTAAAAATTCCCAAAAGGTCGCAGCATTTAACCTTGCAGGCATAAGGTAGGGTCCAAATAGTCGATTACGGTAGATACCAATCCACACGTTCACACTAAATTCATGCTGAAAATTTCTTTCCGAACTGCATGCGGATTTTCATGCGACCAAATATGTTGATTATGAAAATTTACCACTCCACGTCTAGTGAAGCATGACTCATCGGTCCATAAAACGTTACTTAAAAACTCCCTATTATTATCAGTTCTATCAAGAATCCACTGACAAAATGTGATTCTTCGTTCTCCGTCCCCTGGCTGTAGTCCTTGCACAGGTTGCAAATGGTAAGGACGTCTATGGTCATCTCTAAGAACAGGGTGAACATGGCTTGCTGAAATTCACAAGGCACCAGAAACTCTCCTAACACTTGTGGTCGGATGTCTATCAAACTCACGCAGAATCATAGGGGTAAATCTGCGCTGACGAACATTTATGTTTTGATCCCTTTGGAGATTTCCAAAACCATTTTCAATTATTTGGCGATGTACTCTTACAAATGCTGAGCGAGTTGGATGTCGTCTGTTTGGAAATCTTCGTGCATATTCTCTGGCTTCTGCTGCGTTTCCATTTACAAAGCCATACACAAAATGAATATCCGCTAACTCTTGATTGGAGAATAAAAATGGCATTTTTATAAAACTTACAAAAAAAACAGGTAAAAGAAACTAAATTTCGTGCATTCACAATTGCAAAACGTTTCAGGTTTCAACAGACAACAAATTGACAACTAATTGACGTTTAACCTAATTCTGCTTTCAATTTCAAAAATATTTGCAGGCACAGCCTACTTCTAAAAATTATCGAGATACTGACTTTTTAACGTTATTTTATCATAAGTAAATGCATCGAACCTTAAACATCAAAATATCTCAAAAACGGCTAAATATAACGAAAATTCACAAGAGTACTTTTTTATGTTGAAAAGTGCGAAGAATCAGTTTTTTTATTCAAAAATCAAAAAATTGCGCTAAGAAAAATTTTTCGGTCATTTTAATACACTACAGGTACAGTAGAGAACGCCCTCTAGCGGCTGCAGTAAAACTATGCCCATGGTTCGTTTTTTCGTACCAAAAAACCCTTGTATACCAATGTTCACTGTTATACATCAAATATTGTGCGAAATATTTAAAAAAAACTATTTTAGAAAGTAAATTTAAACACCCTGTATTTCGGAAGCCACGCATTTTTCGACCCATGTTTATATAGACTTTATGCATTAATTTTAAAAGTTCTATCGAATCTTAATGTTATGCAACAATAAACTGAAACACCCTGTATAAAAGAATTTATCAATTCTGGCGGTCCTAGTAAGGATAGTGGAAAACTGCTGTCAAATTATTGCATTGTCGTCGGTCCTTGATACGTGTGCGAAGTGTCATTAATCAAACTTCTGGAAATTGGCGAAAATTATGCTCAAAGATTCCGCTACATACATGCTCACATACACACATATGTTACATACAGGCTAACCATATAAAAGCGTGTTAAAAACGAGTCGCGAATTACACACAATCAAAATTAAATCATCCTGACAAAAGTTGCACAACCTGTACAAAAATATTACCTTTTGGATCATATCAAAAGTCGAATCATTTCTCAACAAGGAGTTGTCGCTGCCTGTCCTAGAAGGGTGTTTTCTTTTTCTTTGTTCTATCTCTTCCTCCATTCTTCACCTCCTTTCATTTTAGGTTAAGAGATCAAGCCGACTTGCGAGCTGACTATGACTTTGACAACCAACAATGACTTCACTTTATCTCTGGCATTTTGGTACAAATCTCTATGTGCACTGTTCATGTTATTTCTAGGCGCACTTTCCGCGTTAGGAATATCTCTATTTTTTATTCGTCACCTTGTAGAATCCTCATAACATTATTAATGATCCTTTATGTTGAATCACCGCACCAGTTATATCATCGTTATAACGATTCGGTCCGTTCGTGGTATTGGGATGAAAGTGATAGTGAATTCAACGAAAGTGCAAGTTCAACCTTCTATCTGTGTGCCGCTGATTTTATATGTCTTAGAACGTAAAAACTGACAGTGGAATATTGATGAGCACTAAATGATTGGATTGTGGGTTTTGAAAGGAAGTGTGTCAACTGATTTTAGGCCGATACCTGTCATAGTGATAGTGCGATACAACCACGGGGAATCTGATTTGTTCGACGATTCTGTTCAATCTAAAACTCATAACATCTAATATAGTTACCCTTTAATCATACTAGTATTATAAACAAAAATATCTTCGTGAGTCGTGGGATATAGCTCTGTAAATAGATAACACAGGCTTGGTTTGCTTTGTGTAAGTTAGGTTACGGTCACAGAATTAATAAACTGTACCAAATCAAGGCACATTCAGTTACCCATAACCTCCAGACCTTTCGTCACAAAGCATTGGCTTCTCTCCAGATCGGCCGCAACAGAAATATTATTCGTGTCAACACAGGTCCTAGAAAAACACCTGCGTTGAGATGGATGGCCAAAGAGGAGAACTCAACAACTGTGACAGTTATCTCACAACCTGGAAGAATCTGCTAAACGTTATTTTTTTAAACAGGATGAGGCCTTGATATTATTATGGTTCCTAATGCCAAAATGAAGCACAATGCAAAGGGTCAAACGCAGGGCTACCATACCCCAATGGTAGACGATAAATGTCTGTAACATGCAGCCATATTAGGCTTAAAGAAGTAGAAAAGAAAGCAGGCCAGGAAGAAGAAGCAGTCGTAAGGCCTGGGGCTTCTTGTTACCCAAAAATCGAGGCAGAAGGTTTGAGTGAGCACCACATTCTAAGTCCGAGAATTGAGCGAGATCTTGACTTGTCGAAAGAGAAGGCAACACTACTGAATATAGGATCTCGCGTTTGATAAATTTCATCAAGAGTGGAAAAAGCAGCCTGGGAAGCCTTTAAATGTGTGGCACGATGATGACAGTAACTTTATTGTTTTTACATTTGAGTAATTTTGTTTCATTGAAAATTACAGGATCTTCAATTTATTTTTTAATCGATGTATGTGTATCTTAAAAACAAGGGCTAATAAAAAATGTTGTTAATATTCGTTTTGCTCAGTCTAAAATTAGTGTGATTTGGTCACTTAGAACCAGGAAACGTATATATGAATATATTTTTGGCCAGTGTAAGCTGGAGGTAAGCATACCAGGCCTTAGTCTGTTTCTCATACAGGTATCTTTCCAGATAAATAGAATTAAGTTCATATCCCAAAAATGTAGAAAGACCAATTCAGGCAGCTAGATTGCAAGTTTTTATCAGCAAAGTGATGATGAAATGATTTTTATTTCCTAAGTCTGATAAACATCTTGCCATGCACACATTCGCCAAAAGTAACAGGTTATGATTCTAATATTAAACTAACCTGATCGTATAATGAACTAGGAATGTAGATGTTCTATAACAATGAACAATTAAGGTGATACGCAAAAGTTATTAAGCAATGACTTTCCTAACTCAGTGAAAGAATTTGTGAAAGGTCTTCAAAAGACATTAATTTAGGTAGCATTACGGCGTATATAAAAACCGACTAATGAGAGTCGAGATTTGATGCCAGATGCGATACGTCTTCGTTGATTTTATGCCGTTACATAGATTTTTGATCATCCGTACCTCTTATGCAATTTGTGTATCTGTAGCCTTCCTAAGGAGGTTTTGCTGATACTTTTCCATCTTCCTTTCTGGACATGCTGGTTGATGAATTCTGCTCTTTGTCCTACAATATCAATATGGATATTCCTCAAAGACCGATTTTCAGGTCTAACACATATTATAGAATGCAGGTAAATTTGATCCAGTTTTGCTGCTAGGGGAGCGTAATAATTTGGTGCAGCTTAATACTTCTATTTCTCAGTGCAACAAGAGGTTTTGATAGATGCCGAGTTTTGATACTTGTTTCACACGGAAATGTCTCGCTAATCTTGGCAGCTGCTGAAAAAAAGCTGAGGTACTTGCTTAGGGTTAGAAAATACTTTGGACATAATAGAGCTCGATCAGGACCCCAATTCATGAGCGCAGTAGAACGCTTCTTGAGGAATGATCCCAAATTTTGAAAGTTGTTGACGTTTGTGAAGCCCGTTCGTGCATAGGTACATCCAAAATAATATTAATGTTATTTCGTTTTACATATCAAAAGTTTCATTAGCAGTAGTTTCGTCTGATGGTCCGTTAATCGTGGAGCTGTTGGAGATACAAACACTACGAATGCTTTACAGACGGCCTCCTGTATTCACAATTTCTGATTTTAGGTAATACCTTCCAAATTTCATTTCATTTGGGGAAGTTTGTGTCAAAATCTTTTATTTTCTATTTCTCTAAAAAAATATAATTTAAGTAAGAAGTTTTATTTATTGTACAGTCAAGTTAAGCTCGTGGAGCTTCCCACATTAGATTTTATGAGGTTTTTATTACAAACAAAGCGTACTATTCCTATGTTTGGGGTGCTGATACTCTAACTGCTGGACAAACTTGGAGGAGTATCCCACTGAGCTCTCCACCATGATGAAGCAACGATCTAAGATTCCTAGACCAGCCCTCCAGGTACGCCTTCTCCTTGTGCCTTGGTTGAACTCGATTAGCGAAGAATTTCGAAAATATGAAACAATTTAGCAAATAGGCTTTTCCTGGTTAAAGAGTTCAAATGTTGGTTCAACAAGATATCTTTAACTTTTTTAATGACAGTTGTGGCTCCGTGGCTAATTCAAAGTTGAAAAACAGCTTCGGTCCTGTCTATTCGTGAGCCTGATACATTAGCTGACCCGTATAATCACACGTGATATTGTATTTCACATGTATACAGGGTTATTCAAGTTAAGTGTCCACCATTAGTAACTTTGTTATTAGTGAAAATACAAAGTTGTTTGAATTAGCAAACTAGTAGCATTTTTAACGCTGGTAAAAATGAGAAATAAAAAAAAACAATTGAGAGTCGTTATTTTGATTTTTTTCAGTAAAATAACATTTTTTTAAATGGAAACCCCTGTATATTATATTTTTTTCTGTTAAAGCATCAAATTTTAAACAAAAAAGTTCATAATGACTTTTCCGCTAAAGTCAAAAATAAAGTCAAAATAACGATAAATATTTTTAATTATTTGCAGTATTATAATATTAAGACGGCTATGAAAACAACATGGCGTTCGCGATTTGACAGCATTAAGATAAGCGACAAATTGTTAAACTGGACATACTCGCAACAAGAAGGCTTTGGAAAACAATGATAAAATCAAATAATGTCAAACATTAGTGTAAATACTTGTTTATAAGCTTTATTGTGTCATTAATTTAAAGAAAAATGTTCTCCCATGAAGAAAAGTGTGATATGTTAGAATGCTATTTAGTGTGCAGAAAATCCTCCTTGAGAGCAAGAGAATACTACAGTGAATTATATCCCGCTCGCATTCAACCGTATGAACGATATTTTCTGAAACTTTATCGAAAATTTAGGGGCAACGAAAATGTGTTTGCTAAAACAAGGGCAAAAAAAGAATTCATAATAAGCGAGGCCACGGAAATTGCAGTTATTGGATATTTTGAAGCTTATCGTGAGAATTCAATAGCAGATATTCTCAAGGACTCTAATTTCAGTTATGGTACTGTTCAAAGGATTTTAAAAAAATACAAATTTATTCCGTATAAGTACCGACCAGTTCAAACGCTTTTGGCAGGGGATCCAGAGAGAAGACTTGTTTTTTGCCATTGGTATCTTAGCATCTGTCGCCAAAATGTAAATAACTTTCGTTACCTTTTATGGACAGATGAATCAAATTTTTCAAATTCTGGAATGTTTAATAGAAAAAACCACCATTATTGGTCAAGAGAAAATCTTTTGTTAGTACATCCAAGAGGCCCACAAGTCCGTTTCAGTTTCAACGTTTGGTGCGGTATAATTGGTTCAAAAATTGTTGGCCCGTTCTTTTATGAGGGAACCCTAACTGGTGAAAGATATGTGGAATTTATGTCAGAAATTCTGACTAATTTCTTAGACGAATTGGATCTTATAAGTAGACATCATCTGCATTTTCAGCAAGATGGCGCACCTGCCCACAACTCCAGAGGTACTTATCATTTTCTAAGTACTACTTTTAATGATCAGTGGATAGGAACAAATTGCCCAATACAGTGGCCTCCCAGATCACCAGATCTAAACCCACTTGATTACTTCTTGTGGGGTTACTTAAAGAACCAAATTTACAAGCGAAGGTACGATAACCTTGACGCGTTAAAGACTGCAGTTAGGGAAAAGATAACCCAGATAGATGGTAGGACCATACTTAAGACAGTTCGAGCAGTTGAAAAACGTGCCCAAAAATGTATTGAAGAACAAGGTGGTGTTTTCGAGCATCTTCTTTAAAAAAAATTGTTATTGTATTTTGTAAGATTATAAGTTGATGTTGAAAATAAAGTTTGTCGATACAATTTAATTGTTTCAGATTGGAGGCCATAATTTCAACAATTTGTAACCTAGGAGAAAAGTTATTGTAAGCTTTTTTGTTTAAAATTTGATGCTTTAACAGAAAAAAATATAATATACAGGGGTTTCCATTTAAAAAAATGTTATTTTACTGAAAAAAATCAAAATAACGACTCTCAATTGTTTTTTTTTATTTCCCATTTTTACCAGCGTTAAAAATGCTACTATTTTGCTAATTCAAACAACTTTGTATTTTCACTAATAACAAAGTTACTAATGGTGGACACTTAATTTGGATAACCCTGTATAACTCGTTGGCACATTATACAGAGAGTTATAATGAGCATTTCGTCCGGTAATTAGTGGTGCACAG